TGGTCCCTTATCTACTTGGACTCGAATCGGCAAATAGGTGCTTTGGCGACCTGCTGGGAGCACTCATTAGCTTTAACTTTATGGGATTCCCTAATGAACTATGAGTTNCATGCAAGAGACGATTGAATCTTTGCTCGTATCGAACATCTTCCTCGTAATTAGCCATCCAAGAGCTCCCATAACTCCGATCACTTTTTGCCTAAGTAGCTAATCCATGGTAATATCCTTTGTCATGCACTATCTTGATGTTATATTGGACGGGCTCCCACTTGGAATTCCTGGACACAATGAACACGACCATTCTATAGTTTGGAAAAAAAAACTCAGGAAAAAGTAAAGAATACATGTTCCTTAATGCAGTCTCAGGGCCTCCGTTCTATCCACCCTCTTGTTGAACGACCATTAGGTCTGTCCTGTATCTTCAAAAACTGCCTAGCTTATGTGACAAAAATGAAGTCTAAATTTTCTATTGATGTTGACCAACTCCGTACTGGAATGCTCCCACTTACTTGAATTCTGTTCAGAACCCTAACAGTCCCTGAATTCGAACAGGGGGCCATCTCATGAACAAATTAATGTTTCGCCATCGCAAACGGTTCTGGTAAGAAATAACCGACTTCGGGTAGGACAAAGGCCTGCTGGGCCTGGAAAGGCACGGTTCAGACGTTCATCTCTGGAACATGTTTGTAGCAGAGGGAATATGTAATTGTACCATCAACATAACCATTTTTTTAGACGAAAAACCTGGCGGCCAGAACTTCCCTTCTCTATGAAGCCGAACCTATCCTAATTTTTCGTGGTCCATTATGAACAGACATCATGTCAGAAAGGTGACACCAAAAAAATTTTTTTCTCTTCATCGCTGGATTTTCTCGACAGTTCGCCATGCGATTGCGGTCCCAGGTGAAGTTACATGGTTCTGTTACAGATGAGTTATGGATAGAATGGTATCGGACCAGCACTCAAACTTTCTTGAGCTCTCTAAATATCCATTGCTCCAGGGTTTAGCTGCACTTAGCTAGCAGTGAAATGATTACCATAGCCACTTGCCTGCATCACCAACCTCTATGACTTGTTGCGGTTCACGTGTGGAGCTGGGTTTTCTTAAACAGGCTCTCTACTGGTTAATAGACCTCGGAAGAATGGAGAGACATCTACGTGAGGAATCGCTCCGTCAACCCGGGTTTCGCCATCTGATCCTCTTCTCATGAAAGTACTTTCTCTCCTAAATTATTTGAAGCTTCCTCCTGTTAGCCATTCTACTTTGCAATGTGATCTTATCTTTACTCTTTTTTTATTCCATTAATTATAACAGATTCTCTTTCGAAAAATTTTTTCTTATTTTTCTGCGTTCTCTGACCTCGAATATTTGATCTGTTTGGGGTACCATATCCCAGTTAACTCCGTTGTATTTAAGAAAGGACTGTCTGTCTTCAAAGAATGTTTTGGAGCCGCAACCGATAGGTCGCTTTATTTTCATGCTCAGGATAGCGACTTCCGTCAACTCTAATTCGATGTCTCCTGATCTTTTGAGAGAACCCCTTCCTCAAACTTTTATCCATTTATGACCACGTTTTTGATACTGATTGACTTTTTATTGAATTTCGTTGTCTTTAGGGAAGAATTCCGAAGAACATAGACATAGGCCATCAAGGGTAAGGTCGCTCAACGACCACCACTGCAGTATCCTTAGGAAGAGCTTCGGCTTTTTAAGTACAGGCATCTGGAAAGCGGGTTTCTCAAACACCTCGAAAGAGTCTTTTCTATGCAGGGGGCCGTTCTCTGAGACTCCACAGAACACCAGCTGTTAATCGAGTCCTGGGTTCTGCAACTATACCTATTGAGGTTCTGATTGCACATTTGGCTCCACATACTCTGCACCCACACATTCCTCGCCCTACTGTTCTCTATTCCCGTCACCTTGCCACTTGAGTCCGAGAAATCACTTGGGCTTCTATTCTTTTTCTTTTGTATCCGCACCGTTTCAAAGTGTAGCCTGCTACTTCAGATGGAAAATCGGTCTTTTTGTGGGATAGCCGCTAGAAGAGTCGCCAATCTCTGCAATGAATCTCTAGCGCTGCACGGCGGAATCGGTTTACGACCAAAAATTTGGTCCCTTATCTACTTGGACTCGAATCGGCAAATAGGGCTTTAACTTTATGGGATTCCCTAATGAACTATGAGTTAGCCACTTGAATCCCCATCCCTCAGGAAATAGGATTCTTGGCCACATGGATATCCGATTCCCTTTATCATGTCAATATGATAAATAAATTTATATTAAGCATATTAACAGAGCTATTTTTCAGTACGTGACTTTTCGAAGACGCTAAAAATATCACTTTACCTTCTTCTTTTTTCACCAATGATTATCCAGAATGCCCAGTACATCTACACCCATATGTGAAAGACGTTCAAACTGAGACCAAACAATAGGTGGCCTGTCACACCAATTAGTCCCTACCAGTTTGAATGTAGCTGGGAAGTTTCACGTCCTGCCCTCTCTTTAGAGAATC